TTTTTATAGAGATATCACCAGCATATGTGCACGTCCCATGCGAGACAAAGGAAACTCTTTCGAGGCTAATCTCTGGGAGGGGACAGGCGTCAGCCAGCACGTATTAAACTAAGAAAAAATGTGGCAACATTGCCTGGCAAAGTTGTTGCACTTTTGTTTGAATTTCCTTGGCTTTTTCATGCTTCTGTGGCCGTCAAAGTTTTTTGGTCCCTGTGACATTTTAAAAGCGGCTTCCCGCACCCCAAACGCACGCAGCGCTTGAAAACTTTTATGCCACACACACACATACATATACACATTAAGATATCTATCTATAGGGGGACTGCAGCGTGTGTAAGTGCGTGTGTCAGCATATGTAAGTGTGTTCTTAGAGCACCGCAGGGCAAACTCGTGTCTCGTCTGCCTTCCTGTCTGCCCGTCTGTCTGCCCGTCTGTCGTCTGTCTGTCTGCCTATACAAGTTTGAGCCGTTTGACTGGCTAATTTGCTGTGAAAGCTCGCTCGCACATAATGAAAACGATGCTCCGCTCGGTTATTTGCTTCTAATTGGGGCTAAAGTTCGAAACAAAAGCCGCCTAATTGCCATAACAAATATTAATTAATTTACCATAAATAATAGTTGCAAAAGCAAGCCTAAATTATTAAATTCGATTTTGAATAAAAAGTCCAAATTGCTCTTATATAAAGCAGCTTAAATATGGAATACAACTAAAATAAAACAAAATAAATTTCTGTTTTTCTTTCAATTTGTATAAGAAACAAACAAAATTTAATTTCGTTGCTGCATAAATTCAACAAAGTTGAATTTTATCAATTGAATGCAATCGACAGCGTTAATAGGCACAAAGAAAACTGTAAATCAAAGTGAGATCACAAGACAATGAAGTATGTTGATTGCATTGGTCAACAAATTATATACAAATAAAATACAATATAAAAACTTGAGAATATTTTATATGCATAGACGCACAATTCGAGTTGTTTGTAAATATATTTATATCAATTTATTTAATAAACAAATTCATGTTGCGGAAATCTAACATATTCTAGTGCAACCTGAATAGACTTTTCAAGCATCAAAATCGATGCTGCGCCGCAGAGGTTTCAATCCATGTGTGAAGTGTGACTGAGATATATGAATCGAACATGCTTGGAGCTTGGAGCATTGAGCGAGATGGTGCATGCAATGAAATTGAAATTCAATGAAATCAACATCCATCACGAGGAAGATGTTGATAATGCCGATGATGATGTTGATGACGATGATGATGATGATGATGATGATGATGATGATGCCCCTTAAGAGTTAAGCAGGATGCGATTCGACGCGATTTGCATGACGCTGACAAATTTGGTTGAATCGATGGTGGGAAATGCGTGGAAAAAATCATGAAGAGCGTGTATTGAATAATTTATGACCGAGTTTATTCCCGCACTGGACTGGGGCAAAATATTATGTGTTTACACGCAATCATTGCACTGCCAGACTGTTAATGTTGCAGGTGTATTTACATACATATATACAGTTTGTTTTTTTTTTGTTGTGGAGCCAATCGCAAGTGGTGTGGCATTGCGTGCTAAATAAGATATGACACGGGAAATGGGTAACGGATGCTGATTTGCGTAGGCATAAATAAAATGCGAACTGCTATAAATTGTGTGGACAACCAGAAGGCTGTGCAGACAACATGGATTATTAATATTTTCCATGCCGCTTTTCAGCTTGCTCGGCTTTTATTTTACTTTCTTCTTTTTTTTTATTTATTTTTTTGTTTGCCAGCTTTGTTTGAGCTCTTGAAATGTGAGCTGCCCCAGCAGCAGCGGCAGCAGCAGCAGCAGGCACAATGACCAGAGCTCCAAGCATAAGAAATAAATCAGCTTTGAGTATAAAAATGCACGTCAACATGCTGCAGAGCTCCTCCTCTGGGCTGGCAATCAGGCTGGCTGGGGCAGCTGGGAGCCTGGATTTCAGGGCAATTTGAAAGGACGGACAAACATTGCCTGGCCATGTTAGCTTAATGAGTGCTGGCCACAAAATCAACGAGTCAGTCCTAGGAAAGCAGGAAAAAAAAGTTGAACCATATATGTGTGTGCCACTCCCACTCCCTCACTCCCACACACTGAGCTACTAGTTTCCTTATTGTTTGTAGAACTTTCCTGGCCAACTAATATCGAAATTTTAAATACTGCTCATGAGCCGTAAGGTTAAACAAGCACAAGCTGCGATAGCCATTCAATTTACAGGCACTTGACATACCATAAAATATGCATATGCAGGTTATTGATAGGCACAAAGCGAACAACTCATTAGCTGTCAGCGCAAGTCAACAGAAACTGCCGTGCTTTAATTAAATGCATATTAATTAAAACTTATTTCGAGCGCATTCTGTCAATTTCGTGACAGCCTTGTTGACACTTAAATCATGTTCAATATGAATTTAATAACTTGTTCAATTAATAAAAGTCTAATAAAAGCACAGCGTGAAACACCAACCTGTGCTTGACATGGATTCTACAAATTAAAATATTTTAATATTTATTTTTATTGCAAAGGGAAAATTTGAGCTTTTGAGCAGCGAATCGAAAACTTAAAATGATAAATTAATTTGAAGAATAAGGTGAAATATAATCACGAAAGATAACTCCCATATTAATCTCTATCTATTTCTCTGTCTCTCCCTCTTTCTTCTGATCTCTGGTAAAATCCTCGTTAAAGTTGATCCGTTAGCGAACGAATTAAGTTTAATAAACAAACGCGTTTGCGGTGGCGTATACGTGATTTATTGTGACATTCTTATTGTCATAATCCGAATGGCTTTTGTTAATAAAGCTTCACTTATATGCCATATGGATATTGACATTTAAAGTAAAATCAATTTGTCAATTACATGAAATGTTTTCTTTTTTTTTATTGCTACTTATATTTTTTATTTGCTGCACAAACTGAAGCGTAGTATATGTTAAACTTTTAATTCCATTTGGGCATGAAACCAACAAATAAATCAAAGTCACGCTGTGACCCGGTCTCTGTCTGAGTCCGGGATATGGGTCTGCAATTGCGGCAGCTGCACTGTCCAATGAATTAAAAGTATAAACAAACAAGCCACGCACACACCCAGCCCTCTGTATGTTTGTTCACATATATATGTACATTTGTGTGCGCGTGTGTGTGTGTGGGAATATAGGGAAAGTTTTCAATTTCGCTACAGTTGCGACTGTGATTTAAGTGTCGAGCTGGCTGGCTGGGACGCCGCGGCCACCGAAATAAATTCGCCAAATAAAACAAATACAAAGCGAGGGAAATATGAGAGCTGTCGAATGCAATCGACTGCGCAATACTCTCTTTAGAGTGCCAATAGCGTTCGATCGGATCAAAAATGCTTTCTGGCCTGATTGATTGACGGTGGCCCCAGGAAAAGTGAGGCAATTTAGATATTTTTCCGAAAATGGGGCGAGATAGACGAAAGTCAATAGTGGAGTCATTGAAATAGGCAGCTCTCCCAGTAAATAAGTCGCAGTCAAGAGAAGAGTGGCTTAGCCTATAAGGAAAGAGCATGAAAAGTTAGTGTATATTGTGAGGCTATTGTACAGTCGCCCATCATTTAATCATAAGCATAAATATGAAAAGCATTTACACAAATTGTTCGCTAGCATTTTATTTGAATGCACAATTAATCGAATTCAATTGATTTTTATTTATGTGCCACAATTTAGTTTCGACCCTTCCGCTGCATTTGTGCAAAATGCTTGGCTCTGGGCTTAGATGCGGATTTATAGGCCGTTGCACGAGCGAATGCTGACGGCGCGCCTGAATGGGGATATTTCTTCTACCTCTTTTGGTTTTTTCTCTTCAGAATGAATATATGGCTCGTGTGTATATATTTATCATCAGCCACATTTACTATGGGCTTGAAATGCTAAATATGTGCAAACTAGCATAGTAATCAATGTATATATAAACCTAAGACAGTCGAGTCTCGATATAGAAAACAGCGATAAATTGTTCTTTCTTTCTTTTCCTTTGAAAGAAACTCGTTCTCAATATTTCTTTGTCAATCGAAAAAGAAGCTGATGCGCTTGATATTTTGAATCGTGGAAGCTCTACTGTATATTATTTAACATGTACATATATGAAAAAACCGACCATACAAAAATCTAGTTTAATAACATGCCGTATGAGATAAGTAACGAAAATCCCTAAAACCTAACCAATAACGGCAATAACACATTCTGTATGGAGGCCAATGAGTAGCTCAGTTATATTATTGTATTGAAATTAAATTATTTATTATTATTATTATTGTACTGAAATAATGTAATTTTATAAATTTCTTTACTTTTGTCATATTTTCTAAATACTCCGAAATACGGAAGACTTTGCATAGAGTTACCTATATTATGGTGCTCTAATACAAAATTGTATTGCCTACTTTCAAGGGCCCAAGGAGAGGCTTGTTTATCATTATCAATATCATATTGTAAGCAAATATCTTAATGGTATATATTTGCTTACAATATGATGTTGATAATGATATATAATGATATATAATGATATACAAACTTTCTCTTAAATATCAGATATATATTTTGTATACTTAAAACTTGAATAGATATGTACGCACATTGAACTTTAAGCCAGAAATCCGCCAGTTGGAGCCATTGTGCTTGACAGGGGCGTTATTTATATGCGCTGGCGCTCTGCTCCTGAATTGCGCCTGTTTGTTTGTTGTTTGCTGGCCCGCAAAAATAAAAACAAACCGAGTTCAAAAAAATATAAAATAAAAAACAAAAAAAAAACGGTGCGGAACACATTTCATAAATCTTGGCCGCGATTGAGCACAACTCGTTCTTCCTTTTTTCTGCTTTGCTTTAATTGTCGTTATTTTTGGCTGCGCTTCTTGGGTTCGGTTGGGTTTTCGGAGTCAAGTTTTGGTCACGCGTGCCCTGTGATGTGTCGCTGCTGTCAATGGTCAAGGGTGAGCGCAATGCGGCTGCTGAAGAATTATCGCCTGGTGGCCCTGCAGGCGCCACGTGGCACAACGAGTCTGTTGTGCCGATAGGGCCCAAAGCGGGTCTTCGGATGGCAGGGGTTGCCAAACGAGATGAAAGATCGGGGCGTCTGCCTGCTCGCCCTGAAGCCAGCCCCTTGATACTCGCAGTCCCCGCAATCGGGCCGCGCAATGCGACTCAGCGTGCTGTTCAGCAGCCAGACCATGGCGCCAATGATGCCCAGCGCAGCGCACAAGACGAATATGACGACGACCAAGCGCCAGCTGGAGTCCATGTTCTCCAGGTCGAAGCGCAGCTCCGGCTTCAGGCTGGCGGCTGCGGCGATCTCGCGCTCGATCAGCTGCTTCAGCGTATGGCACTCGGAGGCGGACATTGGGTGCGGCACCTGGTAGACTGCCACCGGCTGCTCACTGAGCCACCATTCGTCCCAGAACTCCAGCTGACCGTCCGCCAGCAGGCGATTGCAGTGGGCGTACACCTCGCTGATCCACTGCTGGCACTCCGGGCTGTTGATATTGTCCTTGCAAATCGGATTCATCTCGTTTTATTCAGTGAGTATGTAGGTATCTGACATGTCAGCAATATAAATATATACAAACACATACATGTATGGGATTACGGCCCGGCCTACTAGAAGCACAGCTAGACCTGATTGTCGTACTGCTTGCCGCGTCGCAGCCAGCTCGTCCAGCGCATTTTCCTGCGTCCCTGATTCGTAGCTAGGGGCTCATAGGTTGTGGGCATTCGGGAAATGGAGTCATAGCACCTGTTCGCCTCGCTCTGTATGTCCATGGTGATGGAGGTTTCGTCCTCGTCCGGCGTGTCTCTCTCCGACTGCTCGCTGCTTGTGCTGGGTATTTCCTCATCGGTGGAGTTCCCCTTGCTGTCCTCCGTTCGACAGCCACTCGACTCGAGGTCGCTTGTTTCCTCCGATGTGTTGACCTGCAGCTCATAGTTGGGCTCCACACTCTTCGCTGGCTTCCGGCCAAATCTCTTCGCCGAGAAGCTATCCCAGAACCGCGTGGGCACATACAGCGCCTTGCTGTCCATGCAGCCGACCATCCTGCTCGACGCGTTGCACTTGTCGCGCATCTGCTGCATAAGGTCATCCACCGAGGCCTGGCCGCCCGACTGCCTGTCGTCGGCGCAGTCGTCGGGGCATGGCGGCGGCTTCTTGAGCACGAAGGCCTTGGCCAGCAGCCAAATGATCAGGCTCATGAAAAAGGTCAGCAGGAAGAAGATCAGCACGTAGCTCATCGAGTTCAGGCCCGGGGTGTGGGCGAAAAGGCTAGCCTGTAGATCCCGCTTCAGTCGCTGGCATTCCTCCATTGTGATGAGCCTGTGGCCGGCGCTGGCGGAGCGGATGTTGATGTGATGCCCATCCTGGCCGTGCTTCCAGTCGGGGCATCGCGTGCATATCTCGCGTTGCCAGTGATCGCAGGCGGCGCTAAACGGACGTGTTTTACAAACTGTATTCAAGCGCCGCATGGTCTGAGCCTATGTTTGTTTTCTATTCTGATAAATATTTCAATGCATAATGAAATGAATGTCCACTTTGAAGCTGTGTTTGCAAAGTATATTTGTTTATTTTTATTTTACTGAATATAAATTTTATGAAAATTTTTGGGGTATGATGAATATAAGTTTTATGGTGCAAAGCTGGCAAATGTGGAAACACTCAAATGTTCATAAATTGTATTTTTACGCTTCGAAACACTTAGCGCACACATATGTATGACTGTATGTGTATGGGTGTGTGTGTGCTCACAGAAATAAACAAAAGTTAGCCCAACGTTATCTGGGCGAGGTCGTTGCCAATGCTCACTGGCGGGCTGTGAGCGGATGTTATGGAATTTGAGCATTGTAAATAATATTTTGAGATGCGGAAAAGTTTCTAATGTGTTAATGAATTCAAGGAATTATCATGTTCGCTTTACTTATTTATTTAGCAAAGAATTTCATTAGGATTAAACAGAATTTTTGTGCAAATCTATATAAACTGATTAGATTTTATTTATTATTATTTTTATTTTATTTTTTTATTTTTATTAAAAATGTTTTTAGTATAAAAATAAACAAATTCTTAATGATACAAATTTAAGTATTACTTTAAAAAATAATATCAATTATTTTTGTTTATTATTTTTTTTAACAAAAAATATTCTTATTGAGAATAGTTTAAATATTACTTTAAAAATATATTTTATGACACGACATGAAAGAAAATTAATTTTAAAATAAAATCTATTATATCTTTCGCATCAGACAATTAATAAATTAATTAAAATAATTAAAACAATTTTATTTTATGTATAATTTAATATTAATAAATATTTTGTTCTTCTTTAATGTATAACAAATGTATTCCGATCAATGTAAGACCCAATTGGAGTGCTGAATCGCTTAGGGTATATGGCAGTTAATCACTTTGAGCACACTTAGTATTTGTTTGCTCCGCACGCAGTTGTGTGGTGGCAAGTGCGAAACTACTTCAACTAAAGATGCAACTTAATTTGCGGCAAGTGTTGATGGTTACAAGCAACCAAATGGCAGGAAGCGGGTATTTTTCTTTGCCGACGGAGTCGCGACACTTCGACGTGCCGAGAGCTTGACATGGAAAAATGGAATTTGGCGCTTTCGCAAAGTTCCCAATTTTCGCATTTTCGTATTTTCGTTTATTTGGTTGTTGTTGTTGTTCTTGTTGTTGTTTTTCTTACTTGGTAACAAGGTCGCATTTGACACGCAGTCAGCTCCGCTGATGACTGACAGCCCACCAGTCTGAGGCGGCCTGAAGCGGAGGCCTGGGCAGCTGATGATAATACCTGTAAACGTGACGATGACTTGCCAGATAGCATTGAAATATATTGCCCAGCTGCGATGCCACGATGCCACGTGCTAACTCCCTGGCTGCCACGCAGCAAGGCCGAGGAGGAGCAGCAGCAGCAGGAGACGGGCATCAGCCGCAAGGACACATCGGCAATTATAATTAGATGTGGGCGCTTTGAGCTCAATTAAAAAGCACGTGGCTCAACGAGCAGCGTACATGCCCCAAAAATTGGGTTAAAACGTGCCGCAGGCCCAGCAATGTGGCCAGAAATTGTTTCTGTTTCAATTTGCGCGCTGCAGTTTTGGCCACGCGGCGGATGCATGACATTTTGCCCATATTGAAATTTATGCTTCCGACTCGAATTCGAGCACAGTTATACAACTTTTGGGGCGCCAAAAGCCTACACAATTTCATGGTAAAAATGTTCGACGGAACTTTCATATCCGCGCCAGTCGCTCTGCGGCCCGGGGCCTGCGGTCGCCCGGCCTACTCCCAGAAAACCCAATATTGACCACCATATATAGCCGTTGGCAATGCGGCGGGAAATTGGTTTATTTTATACCCATTGAATGTAATTCGGTGGGCCGGCTAATGGGTGGCTCGGTCGCTTGATCGCTCGCCGGCTGTCGACAGCATTTGGCAATTCCAAATTAACATTCAATGCGATTTGTTTAGAATTCCAATTAAAGCATTTTATTGCTCATTTTCAACGGCTGCTGCGCTGTACTACAAATTTCAGCGTAGACAAATATGTATATGCATAACTGTATGTATGTATATGTGTATATTTTGTGGATTAGGTTGCAGCGCAACACCTTCAGGGCTTCACATGGCGAGAAATGGAATGGAGCATATTAAAAATTACATCTGCTCATTAGTTAGCTACAAATATTAAAGAAGCGAGGACAGACAGTCAGGATCTTCGAATGCAAAAGTGAATTGGATTGAAATGGATTGTTTTCAAGGAAAAGTAATCTCTGCGAACTGATAGCCACGATAAAGTGGAACAGAAGCAAATCAAATAAAAAAACATTATATCCAGATTCCCCATTTTCAATTGGTTCAGGGTATAAAAAGTGGCACAGATGGGCAACTGACAGATTTCGGCATGCAGCTTGGAACAAAATGGAATGGAACATAATTAATTTATTTTAACGCCTTAGCACTGGTTAGTGATTCTTTAAGTGAAACAGTTGTACAACTAATTAACAACATTGAAGGTGGAAACGAAGTGGAATGGAACATAAAAAAACTTCCCATAAGTCAAAATAAACGAGTATTGTAAAATTAAACGTCTTTGAATTGAATGACAATACAAAAGTGTGATAAGTAATATAAGGGAATAATAATTATATATATCAGACAACTAATAATAAAGCCACTAGACTATATAAAATTAATGCATAATTGGAAGAGCCAAGTTTAATTGCAATTTAGAAAGTGAGGCGACAATCAAAGCAGAAAATTATTATCTTTGGCTTGGTCAAGCAACCGCAGTGGTGCCAGTTATTTATGTGTAAATTGAGCAATTTCATGTGAACTGCTCAATCGAGCTGGAGTAGATGCCATTCATGGCTGGCAGTGCTACCTGTTGTTGCTGCACGACTTCGACTCTGGTCGAAGGCAGCCAGCAGCAATGCATTTGCAAACGGGAATAGCCTGCGTGCGTGTGGCTCGATTGGTAAGCCCAGAGTCAGAGTGCAGTGCGCGCTATGGGCATGGTCTGAGCTGCATTCGTGTTGAGTTCACTTGCGCTGGCCAGTGCAAGAGGAATGCCGAGAGGAAGACTGTGGAGAGAGTGCGAGGCATAGATGAAGTGAAAGACTTCAATGGGAAGCGTCAGCCTCGACTCTTGAAATTAAAAACAAAAATTACGAAAATTCGGCCAAACGAGTTCGCCAGTGTCTGTTGCAATTCCAGCTGCACTCATGAGTATATGTGTGTGTGTCTGTGAGTGTGAATGGTTGTACATGAGAGTGCCATAAATTGTGCCACATACTCTGCTCGACTGCTACACGCTCTCGTGCACTCGTGCTGCAACTGAAATCCGCCTGCTTTCAATTCATAAATTTCTATGCGTGTTTCCATGCACGACAACACTTTGCCCAACAGGCTCGAAAAACCAAAGCACTATTTGGCCAAGAGTGATATGTGATTAATAGCAAATACCCATTTACCACATAAACATTGCCAATTTTCAGAAACTAAAATTGCAGCTATGAGCTTTTGTTCAATGAGTGAATTTTGCAATATTCTTGTTAATTAATATTATTCAAAATTTCACGGGAAATACTATGGTAATTCCGAAACTTTGATTGGAAGTTTGATTTCCATTTGATTTCTGATTTGCAACTAGAATTTTTCCTATTAATACGAATAATCTAAATGATTTCATGAGTTCCCTTTTCACATCCCTTCATAATCTTTAATATGGCATCTTTATGATTATGATCCAGGACTTATTTAAAATTGAAGATGTTCTACCTCTAGTTCAACCTTTTTCAAACCTTTAATGCACGCAAGTTTCGCTTCAATAAATACCAAACTTAAGAACTTTACGGCCAGGCTGGCTGTCTGAAAATACTTCATTCAAGATATTATGCGCTTTATATGAAGTAAATTAAGCAGAAAGTATAGTCAGCCAGCTGCCCGAGTTCGCTGAGCTGCTGATGTCTGCTGCAGTCCCTGTGCTCGGGCGAGTTGCTTATCTGATTCCACCCCTGACTGAGGTATTGTTAATGCCAACACATTTGCGCATATTTTTCCAGCTTGGCAAATTTACGCATCCAGCAGCACGGGCGAGTGGGCGGGACGTGTCTTACTATTCACGCCCAGTCACGGCATCTTTTCCGCTCCGGCACTTTGCGAGTGCGCGCAAATCCATTTGAAGCGAGGGATTTTCATCCTTCAGGTTGCGCTTGACGTGGTTCCATGTAGCTTTTCGAGCAGCGTTGCCAGACCGTTTCCGACTGCAGCGTGTTTACGCCGGCCCAGGACTTATCGGAGTTGTCCGGATTTATGTGTAGAGCTGAATGTGCTGATTACAATGGCCTTGTTCAGGCCGTGTCCACTCACTGCCTTCGCCTAAGCAACGCAGATTAAAGCCGTCGCCTATTCAGCCTTAATTTATTGCGACACATAGGAAGGGAAATAGTCGGCATATGGAATGCGGCGGACGGTCAATGGCATAGAAAATGCGACGGCCCCAAATGGAGAACAGCTGCACTTGAATCGAGAATGTCGTGAACTTTCAAATTTGGCAACTGATGGCCATCATTTAATTGAATAGAAACTTTTACAGGCCGCAAGTACCGCAAGGCTATTGACTTTCCTTTACTCGATATATGTCTGTATGTGTGCATGTGTATGTATGTAAATGGAGTCGATGTCAATACAGCTGCGAGAATTTCCATGGCGCGACTTTTCGCATTGCACGAAAAAGGGAAATTTAATGAAATTTCAAATGCCATTCGCTTTCTATCTCAAGCTGTCAAGCTTTTGTCTGCACGCCAGTCTCTCTCTGTGTTTGTACATGTACATATATACGTTAAAGTGTGTGTGTGTGTGTGTGCTTGCGTGTCCTGGTCTGTCTGCTGAATGTCCTTTGTGCTCCAGTGACAGCTGCTCATTTCACGCTTGGTAATTTCAATGAATTTTTGCCAGCGCCATTCGAGCCGCATCTCCATCTTATTTGTTCGACGCCTGCATTAATTAAATTTTTTTCTTACTTCATATAAATGCATAGAAATAGAGTCAATATTAATTTTTATATATAACGCCGTGTTAATATTCATAGATTTCCATTTATATACTTGAATTCCCTAGAGCCTAAGTTCATTATCTCACTCAAGTTGAATTAACTTTCTTGAGCTCTTTAATTTTCCAAATCATAGAATTAAAGCCTATGGATGAACTATTTTCCATTTTCTCTCTTTTCAGCTGAGCTTTGCTACAATTGCACTAATAGTTCTGCTCGGGCGACTTTTGTAAAGGGAAATGTTCGTAATTCTGTCTCTGATAATTACAGAATTCCATTTCTAATTGTCAATTTAGCTACTCAGTGACAGACTGAAACAGGTTTAAGCTCGTCTTCCTCTACTTCTTTACATTCTCAGCAGAAGCAGATGGCTTTTTCGGACGTTTGGTATTTTTCCTGAGACTCTTGCGCCATGCGCGCCAATACTTTTGAATTTTGCGAGCAGCCCGATTCATCATATACTTGAGGATCATCTGTTGCTTCTTACGCTCCTCTTCCTTCTCTCGCTTGACCACGACCTCATTGTAGATGCGCTGCTCTCGGCGATAGAGCACCTTATACTCGTCGAGCTTCTTCTTCGCCTCATTCAGCTTGTCCGTCAGCTCCAGATTCTCAACAAATTTCTCAATCATCATTGCATCGTACTTCTTAATAATGCTCTGCAGTTGTATTTCGTATTTGTTCCTTTGAAGAAAGTCGTTAATACATAAATTCATTTTAAATAAATATCGCTTTGAGTTACTTTTCCTCTCGAGCTTCCTTTTCAGCTTTCTTGCTTTCCTTTGTTAGTTTGGCATCTTCGTATCTCACTTTCTCCAGCTCGTCGGCCAGTTCGATTTGCTTGTCCCGGCTGGCCTTGGCGTTGGCTCGCATAGCTCGACGTGAGACCTCACTGCGTGAAAATGAAATATAGAAATATGTCATCAAATCTATATGTATATATAATATATGATATCCTACAGTTCACGCTCGATTTTCTCGTCGTCCCGCAATTTTTTCAGTCTCCTCTCCTCCATAAACTTTGCCACGTATTGCTCCTTGGCGAGCGCCCTAGCATTTTCATCGATGCTGTGTTTTTCAATCACATGCTGAAATTTTTGTATTTCATCCCAGAGTTTCTGCTTCTCCTTCAGTACCATGTGCAGGTGACGCTCGTGCGCTATCTGCTCGTAAGCATCCCGCTTCAAATGGGTCTCGGCCACCTTGAGCAGCTTAGCGAAGGTGACCAATAGAGCGCTCTCCCGCTTGGACATGTCGTTCATCAGTTTAGGGAACAGAGTGTAGATCTGCATGTTCCGCTGAAAGTAGTCAATGATTTTGATCATGCCGTGATCCATCAGTGGCTGTCGCCGCTCCCTCAAGATGATATCGCGTCGTCGCAGGAAGTCCTCGATCAGCTTTATTGCCGGCTCGTATTGAGTGCCGGTCAGCACATTCTTAACCATGGCGCGATCCTGAATCAGCTTTGGCAATATCAATGAGATCTTGACGCGCTCGAACGCTTCTCTCATACTTGCCATCACGAGTTCAATGAGTGTGGGCCGCAGCGACGAGAAATCTGGGTGCCGCTCAATTAGTTTTGATGTCGACTGACATGGAACGTCTGAGTATCTACACACCTATCTGGGCCATACGAATGGCCTCGCGGCAAGCCGCATGTTCCTCGTCTTTTTTTTGCCTATTCATTACTAATTTTTTTTTATTTTTTAGTTTTTTTTTCTATTTAATTCTGAAATTTGAAACCTTTACTGTGTATGTGTGCAGTGTTGACGTGTACATGTGTGTTAAGAGAAATTGTGCGTAATGTAATTTTCAACAGATTGCTTAGTTTGCCAATATAATTTAACTGCAGCCGTCACAGAGAATAAGAGAATATTCAAGTGAGCGTCCTCTAGCCGCGATTGCTCGACTAGGCGAAGCTCTGATACTCTATTCTAGCCTATTGGACATTGATGAAGCCTATTGATAATAAATCCATTGAAAATTAATATGAGATTGAATAGTTAGAAATTGAGTTTGACTATGCAAGATAACTATAGAATTATTATATATATATAATTAAAATATAAATAACACATATATTATTTAGTAGCGTAATGAGTTCTCCCTGTCTCTCTATTTGTCTCTCTCTCTCCGTCTCTTTCTACCCCTCTCTCTGTCCCTCTCTCTGTTCTCTCTCTCTCTCTCTCTCTCTCTCTCTCTCTCTCTCTCACTCTCTGTGTGTATCACCCTCTCTATATCTCCGTCTGCAACAACCTCTTTCTGGCACCGAGCTCAACATTGAGCGAGACTAAGTGTATGAGTGGAGGTAGCCCTATATAAAGGGCAGCAGCTGCAGCATTTCTTCAGTCAACCTAGGCCTGGTGGGGGTCACTCGTGTAGTGCAGTAAAGTGAAGTGAAGTGTGTGTAAGACGTTCAGCTGAGCATTAATCACTTGGAGGACTGTGTATTTATACTCTTATATGTAGTTAGATTTATTTATATTAATAAATATTTAAATTACTAAATATTTATATTATTAAATATTTTAATTAATAAATATTTAAATTAATAATTATTTATATTACTAAATATTTATTTTACTAACAAGTTGTGAGGGCCTTCAAATATTCAATAAAAAAAAAAAAAGAACGTGCTCAGTTTTTCTAACTCTCTCAATTAAGATATTTTTACATTTAATCGCTTCGATTTCTGCGTATTCCCACACATAAAGCTGTGTTAAAAACTGCACAAATGACGCTAATTCACTGCTACTAATTGCTGCTGCAATCCCTTTTGTCTCTCATATGTATAGAGGAAGCTTAAGCTGCTTAGGTTCAGCATGCAGCCAATGCTTTGTGCATTCATGTAGTTATATTCTATTAAAAATGCTGACAATGACGGATTCGTTTAGTCCGATGTGACATTCATTTGGCCAGAGTTCATGGAATTACTTCATACGCTGCGGTCAGTTTTTCCCAGTGGACTAATAACTTTATGCCTCCATCAGAGGGCGCTCCCCATTTGAGTCGAAAACATAATAGAGTCATTTTCTGTGTGCTCGGCGAGAGACAATTGGCTGAATGGCAGGGTGGGTGGATGGCTGGCTGGCTGGTTGTCTGCCTGGTGCTGACCATATGGCGCTGCATTTGCAATCGGATGAGGACGAGCAAATCACATAAATTACTTTATGATGGGATCGCATGAATCTGGCAGCGGGTGAAACTGAATGGAGCACAGGAAAACTTTTCGCTTGGCACATGTGGTCACGGAGTGAAAAAGTTAGTAGCTGCCACTGCCGCACAATGCATTATAAGGAAGCAACAAAAGTCATTCCGAAGTTATTATGCCCCACACCACCTTCGCTCACGCCAGTTCACCCGCTGGCCTTTGTCTTCTGCTATTTGCAAGAAAAAACAAAAAAAAAAGGTAAAGAAAAATAAAAGAAAATAATGTGGGCGAGAAAACAAAAGTTTTAAGTTTTTCGACTGCCAACTTTTTGGCAACTTTCAGTGACAAACTTATTTTTTCTGACCCGCACTGGCAATTCGGACCATAGCACATACAGCTCTATAATGCGTTCATACCCTATAACGAACTACTATGAAAAAATTTTACATTTTCAGAGCCAAAAACAAGAAAAAAAGGATTTCTTATCCGCTCTAATTTAATATACAGAATTGATTAACACTCAATATAGACTTTCTGCAGAACATCCTAAATTCGGTTTCCCTTAATTCACGCATTCCTCTTTGTTTTCCTAAAGTTTGGCATTCTGTGAAATTGTCCAAAATGCAACTGCATATAAATTTAAAAGTTTTCATATAGTTTTTCCCAAAATATTATGCAAACTTGCAGGCGCAGGCATAGGCATAGAAATCGCAGACAAACCTAATCTAACTTCAAAGAAAAACTGAAGAAGATTAATGGAATTAGACTGCTCTGTTATATAAAATGTTTACACGCAATGCTTCAAATAATTCATTTAACCGAGAACCCCTCGCTCCATTGAGCATACACAAATACAAATACGAAATTGATAGTATTCTAGTGGATATTGAAAAATTGCTAGTTATGGGCGATAAGAAAATCGATTCCGAAACAAATCTCGAAGGTTCAGCGGAGCCCCGCAGAACAGGAAGAAAGTATATTCAACCAAGTAATTCTTCCACTCTTAAGGTAATCAAATATTCGCCTTAATTAACTGAATAACTTATTTCCCGATAGATGAGCACAGAAAAAATACCACATTTGAGAAAATCGCAATACTTCTGTCCTGGTTCGTCGTTCTCCTCATTTTTCCCCTGAGCATATTTTTTTGCTTTACAACAATCCCCGAATTCAAGCGAGCCATTTTCTTTCGCCTCGGGCGGGTCAGGTAAGACTGTGAGACCTCAGGCATTCTCTTGTCTGACCCTCTCCCGTTTAGAAAGGGCGCCGCAGGGCCGGGTCTGGTCTGGTATTTGCCCTGCATCGATTCCTACGCACTTGTGGACCTGCGCACCAGAGTGGAGGTCATTCCCACTCAGGAGATGATCACCCGGGACTCGGTCACCATCAGCGTCGATGCGGTGCTCTTCTACTATATCACTGGCTCGCTGCACGCCACAATTCAGATCTCAAACGTGCACGAGTCAACGCTCTTCATAGCGCAGACAACGCTGCGTAATGTCGTGGGCGGCAAAACACTTCACGAGCTGTTGACCTCCAGGGAATCACTGTCCCACGAAATTGGCATTGCGGTCGACCGAGCCACCGAGAAGTGGGGAGTGAGAATCGAGCGAGTCGCACTGTAAGTTTCACAAGCTCATTGTCTTTTCGTACGGCGCTCACGTCCATGCTCAGCAAGGACATCAATCTACCGGAAATACTTCATCGAACCATGGCCGCCGAGGCCGAGGCAATGCGGGAAGCCCGTGCCAAGATCATCTCTGCGGAGGGAGAGGTGCTGGCCTCGCAAGCCTTGAAGGAGGCCTCCGACGTGATGGCTAAAAATAAAATCACTTTGCAGGTGAGTGCAACAGTCAATGAATTGAATATTCAGCGCTTTCATAGCTCTGCTTGAACTGTTGCAGCTGCGGCATTTGCAAATATTGACTTCGATTGCCCACGAGCGCATGGTCACCATTTACTATCCCTTCCCACTGGAGATATTGACGCCATTCGAGACGCGTAAAAAGGGCGGATGTGTCAGTACTGACTCACTGATGCCGATCCTTAAGCCCAGAACTGAAATTAAATCGGCAATGGCCGCAACTGCAAGTAATCAAACTGACGAGGAGTGAAAGCTCTGGGTAGCTGAATTTTCCATAGTTTCTGCTGCAGTCTTTATATGGGAATGTAGCTGACTATCCCTGTTTTTAATTCAATAAAACTTGAATAAACATATTTGTACAAACCTTTTAAGAGCAACACATTTTTGAATCAATAGCTCTAGGAATTGTTAGGCATCAAGTACTTCTGTAAATATGCCGTTCGTAATTGATGCAGAAAGCAAAATTTGTTGTAATGGCTATTCAAGGCAGTTCACGCAACCAAATCGACGTAGGTAATGCTGCAAAGGAAATCAGAGAACAAGAGTCCAAGGGCGAATCTGAAGAGACCTACAAAGACACATCCAGAATATTTTTTCCGATAACCGCGAGCCTGAGGCTCCAAGAACGCAGAGGCGGCACAGCATTCGAGAAAATTGCCATATTCTTCACTTGGCTCGTCGTTGTGCTCACCTTTCCGCTAAGCCTATACTTTTGTTTTATTACCATACCCGAGTATCAGCGAGCTGTCATCTTTCGGCTAGGACGGGTACGGTAAGGGATTCAGAATGCAAATATTCTTTATTCTATTTGGTTTGACTCGCTCTTGTTTAGAAGAGGCGCAGCAGGGCCGGGTCTTGTCTGGTATTTGCCTTGCATCGATTCCTATGAAATCGTGGACCTGCGTTCCCGAGTCGTCGTCATTCCCACTCAGGATATTATCACCAAAGACGCGCTCACGCTGACTGTCGATGCAGTGCTCTTCTACTATGTCATTGGCTCATTGAAGTCCACAATGAAGGTCGATGACGTGCACGAAGCTACCGTCCTCCTGGCACAGACAATGGTACGTAGCGTCTTGGGTACCAAGAAACTTCACGAAATTCTGACCTCCAGAGAATCGTTGTCGCAAGAGATTCGCATTAGCTGCGAACGATCTACTGCCAGCTGGGGTGTGAAAATCGAACGAGTTGCACTGTAAGTTTACGCAATCACAGTCGCATCTCAGGAGCCTCACGTTCATTTTCAGTAAGGACATCAGTCTGCCGGAAATGTTTCATCGAGCGATGGCCAGCGAGGCTGAGGCAATTAGGGAAGCTCGTGCCAAGATCATATCTGCCGAAGGAGAGCACAGCGCATCCAAGGCGCTGAAGGAGGCATCCGATGTGATGTCTAAGAATAAAATAGCTCTGCAGGCGAGTCTCATCTAAGTCGTATGAATAATCAACACGAATTATGGACTCTGTTCTTCTGCAGTTGCGGCACTTGCAGATCCTAACATCAATTTCCCATGAGCGCAAGCTGAAAATTTACTACCCATTTCCAATAAATATGCTAACCGGTCTAACAGACTCCGAGGCTGACACTGCCGCTGCGCCTAAGAATGATAGGCCCCAGGAGGAGAATCACCCACTGAAACAATCTGTGATATCGATGGTCACGAACATCTTGGAGCCATTTATAAGAAACCCCACGGAGATATTGGAGGGTGAATCGTTTCTAGGCACAGCTGATGCAAGTCGGTCCATAAATGAGGACTATCAAAGCCCTCCCGATTCTCAAAGACAAATATCAAATCCCGATGAGCTGCCACTGTCTGCCAGTCCCCAACCAGATGGTATATACTGTACTGATTGATATACGTATGACGCCTCAACTAACAAATCTTTTTCCCTCTGCCCCCCAAAGAAAACGACAATACTAAAGGAACTCAAACGGACCCGAAGACTCACAAGTAATATGGATTGTATTCGTGAGCTACATATTATGAGAAATTCATTTTAATTTTGTGCTCGCCAAGCCAGACCCGAGATCAAATTAACTGCTTCTATTTTATTCCCCTGTAAAACCAACAAATATTTTAAGTTGTCTTAAATTTTAAAGTAAGCGTGGATATTTCTCTGTGTCAGTACAACTATTATTATAATAATGGAGACTTTATATGTTATATATAATACAAATATTGATTTAAATTCATTCTATTGAATCTTTCTTTAATTCGTTCTAATTCAAACTGCAAACTGGAATCAAATACATCTGCAGGACAATGCATTAATCTCTGAAAGTAAAGTTTCTCACGCGAAGAGCCATAAGGAACGTCATTTTCACATTATTATGTGAGCAATCGTATTTTTCTAATCTGATTTTCACAATTCCCGAATGGCGGTTGCAACAAAGTGTTGCCGCATCGTCTGCGTTAATGTGCTTCGCATGTGTTGGTGCGCAGTAAATTAGCGAGGAGAGTTAATCCTAACGTGCCAGTCAATGGAAAAGAAAACGCCGAGGAATACAACCAACGAAAATTTCAAAAAGGATACTATACACAGTTAAAGAGACTGATATGTGTTCAAGTTTAAGTAATAAAGATAAGAAGTTGATTGAATTTATATATATTATTTATATTCATATGACTAACTTTAGTTTAAAGTCTGTTTGGAAAATAAATATTGCATTGCTACAATACTTTCAGTACGTCTCAAATGTTTATTTTTTGTCGGGTGCTCATCGCGAAGTTAGCTGCTCTTAATACTCATATGCATTAGTAGCTTTGTGTGTGTGTATTTGTGCGTGTGTCTGTGTGTTTGGTGCGTGCTTCTCAGTTCGTGCGTGTTCGAGGACAGGTGGAGCAACACACAGACAACACACACACTCACACACTCACGCACGCTTCGCCTTTGCACGTACGTGTTTGTGCAGCTGCTTTGAGCTTGTCGCCCCACACACGCATCCGCATCCGCATCCGCATCGCCCAACACCCAACACCAACCGCCGCCGTCAACCCAACAGCAAATGGCGCCGGCGCTGCTGCTAGCCGTGGCAGCCAGCGATGCATATTCAAATTTGATTTATGCAAATGGCAAATGCAGCAAGTGGCAACTGGCAACTGGCAACTGGCAACTGGCAACTGGCAACTGGCAACTGGCAACTGGC